ATGGGGGCATTACCTCCCAATTTGCCCAAATTATGCAATAAATGAAAACTGGTTCGATTTCAATCAAACTTTTTGACGAGTTGTACATGAAATGTGCTTCATCTGGCCCAAGTCTCAGCATCGTAGCATAAATAGGAAGGGAGAAAAAAACTATTGAAGTAGGTTTCAAAATTATTCCAAAATGGTCAAAAACGATTATCAAACACAAGTCTCAACTGAAATCATATATATGACTCTCGGCTATCTCAATATCATATATTAAAAAAAAATAATAAAATTAGTGTTATTAGAAAAAAATTTAAGTTAAAAAAATTTTTTTTTTTCCAAAAATAATTTCAATTTTTGTTTTGTTTTTTTATCGGACGATTTTCATGAAACTTATACACCTGACTGCACATAAGCCTATCTGTAACGGTACAAATTTTGGAGAAAACTGGTTGATGTCAACCTCAGCCACAAATGGCAGCACCTTAGACTTTATTATTTTCTTATATATTTAAAATGTTTTAAAATAACATAAATGTTTGAATAACTTTTTTATTTTTTATTCAATTTTCATGAAACGTACACCTTATATGTAAAGTGTATGTTTCTAAACCCCCAACGTATCGTTTTTTCCTAAGTTCATTTATTGATTTTATAATAGCAATACACATGACATATTTGCATAAGTTTTTGGGCGATCTTTGAATATTTGTATTAGGAAAACTAAAGATGTTTTGGAAACTCCCTAATTTCAGATCCTTTATTATATGCTAATGTGTCAGAAAAGTGTCATAGAATGATTATATCTGAAAGGTGTGTTTTTTTATTCACACTCAAAAATGTGTAAAAATTTTTGAACAAAAATCTCCCTTTCTATTTACGCTGCAGTACTGAAACATGGCACAATTGCAGCCCTTTTCATATACAACTAGTCAAAAAATATTATTTGCCAACTCACTCTAGGGTAGGATGTTAATATTGACTAGTGTTGAACTAAATAATGTTTAACTTAGTTCCATTTATATTAACAATGACCTGTGTTTATTGATCACTTAGTCCCATTTATATTAACATTGATTATTCTTTGTTGATCACCTAGTCCGATTTATATCACTATAGTCTAGTGTTTTACTATATTTAACAACCTAGCTCCATTAAATAAATGTGCAGACCGTATATCGGGTGGGACGTATACCAACACGAGTTGTGTTGTATATCTATAATTATTTACCTATTTATATATTACCAATAATCATTTCACCTTTGAGTGATAATTAGTGTCTGCATCAACCAAGGGTGATTTAGAAGAGTTAACTTGAGGTTCTCCCAGTCACACTGATTACCTCTCAAAGTATTTGTTTATGATTATACATATATATATATATATATATATATATATATATATATATATATATATATATATATATATATATATATATATATATATATATATATATATATATATATATATATATAGAGAGAGAGAGAGAGAGAGAGAGAGAGAGAGAGAGAGAGAGAGAGAGAGAAGGGAGTACCACCTCTGGCTGGAAGAAGGGGGACCCATAGCCTCGGAGGAAACCACACATAACGCATTGGAGGGAATGTGGGTCCCCTCCAATACAGTTTCTGTGTGCTTTTCTCCTACCACCCCCTTCCCTTTTTTTTTTTTGTTTTCTTTATTGTGTATTTAAAGGTTACAAAACATACAAGACAAATGCCTAAAGGTTATGGATCTCTTGAAGCTCCTCCGCTTCTGGACAGGAACCGAGGACGCAGCAAGCATTTCCCCTCTGGATCGCCACACTGAGACGCTGAAATAAAAAACTGGAAGCCCAGTTTTGAACATTTGAAACATTTTGAATATATGAACATTCATATATATATATATATATATATATATATATATATATATATATATATATATATATATATATATATATAGATATATATATATATATATATATATATATATATATATATGCGAACAAGCCTGAATGGTCCCCAGGACATATGCAACTGTTGGTGTGAGTTTTCAGTTATATATATATATATATATATATATATATATATATATATATATATATATATATATATATATATATATATATATATATATATGTGTGTGTGTATATTATTATATGTGCTAACCTCCAAGGAGGTCGATTTTAACCTAGTGATAGAAAATATAACCGTAGGCTACTATCATTAGTACTTGCTCAGGCTTATGAGCAAGTACTCTAGTTACATTAATAACAATACTATAAGCCCTGTAAATACCAATCAAACAGCCAGCATGGCTACCACTGAAATGAAATTAAAACAGAACTTAATAGGTCTTAAGGGTCAGTTAACAAGACTGATTAATAAGTGCAAGATCTATCTCAACACCTCTCTAGTTGATCATGTGCAACTGGAAACCTACTTTCAAGTAGCAATAAGTAAATTTGAGTAAGTTAATCGCCAGATAGAAAAGTATCTTGCCGAACTTCCGAACAGCAAAGTCACCACTGAAGAGTTATGTGATATTATTGCTGATCTAGCACAATATGAGGATGATACTCATGCCAGTTAGGATCCTTTTATCAAAATAATTGCCCAGAGCAAGGCAGCATCAACAGTTTCATCTAATTCGAGTCAAGCTACTCCCTCCAGAAAGTTTTCCCACTTTCTCAGGAACAAACAAGGAAGATTGGGACGAATTTTGGAACGAATTCCTAGACCTTATGGACTTAAAACCATCCTTATTCAAGAGTAGTAAGGACGGTAACTTATCTGCAAGTTCAATTATCAGGTGAAGCTAAATCAGTAGTACCCCTTCTGAGGTTAACTAGCGACGATTACGCAAAGATCACAGTACAACTCCTCAAAGATAACTATACTGATCAAGAAGTAAGAACTTCACACATAGTTCATGAGCTGTTGCATTTACCCTCACCGGAGGCTACAGCTGATTTACTCCAAGACTTTAAGTTATAGGTAGAGCCATGATTAAGGGCCTCAGCATAACAGCCAATACAACCAATGCTGAGTGGGTCATGGAAATAATCACCCAAGAGAAAATACTTAGGGACATACTGAAACAAATGAGTGGTCAATACAATAAAAGTATCTTATATTTAAATGAAATATCTGAGGGTTTACGTTCAGTAATTCATCAACTACGTACACATGACAAATTAAAACCATCAGAAACCAATAATAGTAGACCACAGAGTACAACAAGTACTATAACTAAATCTAAACAATCTATTTCCACACCAAAGTGGAACCATGGCAGTTTGGGCACATATGCCGGCTGAAACTCCAAGTCTATAGTTACTATGAGTCCAAAGGGTGCTGTAAGCTATGGAACACGTTTGTTCTGCCAGGAGGAACATTCAATATACCACGGCAGCATTTATTCTGATCGTGATGCACGTGTCAAGCGACTCAAAGCGTTGCAAAATTGCACGAGGTGCCTCAGGAAAACCCACACCAACATATGTCAGACCCAACTAAACACATTCAATAGGTTTAACACAGGTCTGCATCATGGAGCACTGTGCAGGGACACCAAAATAAAGTCTCCAAACCCCAAGGTGGAAGATAACATTCCTACCACAGTACAGTATAGTATTGCAAGGTGCGATAAAAAAATCCGTGTCCTATCGATAAAGTCCCAAAATAATGCGACTTTGTCTACTGTCAAATTTACTATTCAAATTAAGAGGGCCAGGGTTCATACTAGAGAGTTGTTTGACCAGGGGTCCCAGAGAACATTTGTCACACAAAAGGTGGCAGATTATCCACATTTAAAGCCTGTAACCCAGGTGACATTATATATATCGGGGTTCCTGACCGACATAGGACCTCAAGTCTACCAGGTGGTGCAACCATCAGTACGTTTAGACAGCTACGTCTGTCAAGTACAAGCCATTGTGGTAGACACAATTCCAACAGACGTACATGTACAAGGTCTAGGAGCTACTGCCAAATTCCTAAGAAATAAGGAAAAAAATTGGCAGATAAAATTAATTCTGATTACCTCACCGACGTAGGAATCTTTGTAGGTGTAGACTACTATTACAAATTCATCATTAGCCCAACTAAATATCAGGGAATAATCCTGTTAAATTCTGCAGGAGGCAAATTACTTACTGACTTAGTATTAAAACTGAGGAGGCCTATGCCTGTAGACAAACAATTCAAATAGAAATTTAAATTTGTCAGCTGGTTATACAACTCCAGTAGAAATATGCTAGGGAGAATACAGCTGACAACAACAGAGGTTGATATTGATATCATCATTTAAAGCTAAAGATGTGTTCATGAGTCCTCAGTGGAAAATTAGGCAACAGTAGCCTAACCCTTAAACTGTGCTCTACATACATGTATGTTTATTTATTTATTTATTTTATTTATGCATATACAAGAATGTACATAAGGAATGTGAGGATACAATTATGGTAATTACAGTCTTGTAAAGCCACTAGCACGCGCAGCGTTTCGGGCAGAGTCGGACACTCGGGCATAGCATAGTGGACACTCCACTATGTAGAGTGTAACTGTCACGAAATGGCATAATACATACATATACGTATGAGGTTCTCGCGCACGATTTTAAATGCCCCGCGAGAGATAGGGGCAGCTATAGTCCGGCCATGGCTGATAGAAAACAGACGCCATCTTCGGAAAAAAATCCACCGTAGGCCACCATTGTCTGGAGCCTTGGCCGCTGGTACATGGTATGTGCACCACGTACCAGCGGCCGACCGCCCTCAGCGCAGCGTGCAGCCCAATCTTTGACAGAGGACTTTGACTCATCAGGATTTGTCCGGGGAGGGTGATGAACCTGATATTGACGACTCCGACACAGATAAGGACTACACGCAGCCAGAAGATGTGGATACGATTGGCAGTGAGAGTGAACATGTGGGTGCCACAAAGGGGAGGTCTAGCCACTCACCCCATGCCTCCTTACCCCCATTCTTCTCCACTTTGCACCAAAACACATAGTTCATGTGTTACTTTGCCAGATTATGATGTTTTAGGCGAAAATTTTGAGGAAGGAGAATCATTTTCTGGTTTTGGTAATTTAGAATCAGAGAAGAATTATACCACGCCTGTCACTAGTGCCACTGGTGTTCCTGAGCAAAGTTTTGTCGCGTCAACATCCTGTCCAGCCAAGCGCCGCTGCATGGCACCACATGGAGATAATGAAGAACAAAGCCCCTCATCTTCAATTAATTTTCCCTCGTCGTCCCTTACCGCCCCTACTGCGCGTAGACGGACTTCAGCTCGTGGTCCACGGATTCCTCGCTGTGGTGCCGCTGTTGCCGGTCGGAAGATAGCAGGTGTATTTATGTGGAGTGATGGAGATTTTATTCCAGAAACTCTTGTCTATGACAATACAAATGTTGTGATTACAGGCCTTTTCGCTGATAATGGTGATCAAATGTATGAGATGGACTTTTTTACCGCATATGTTAATGAGCCGCTCATGGAACTTATTGTTCAGGAAACGAACAAATACGCGGCTGATCTCGTTGGTGAGGAGTTATCAGATTTTTCACGATTACAGCATTGGAAAGATGCAACTGTAGGTGAAATTCATGTGCTTTTGGCACTGTGAATGTTGATGAAACATTGTGTCAAACAGGTAATCAACCATTATTGGAGCAAAGACCAGACTGTTCCAACACCATTGTTTGGGGAATGTATGTCTCGAGACAGTTTTTTTTATTCTAATCAGATGTCTTCATTTTGCAATTAATGACGACGTAACACAGGATAATAGGCTTTGGAGGGTGAGGCACGTTCTGAATGAACTTGTTGGAAAGTTCAGAGATTTCTGCATACCAGCTCAGAAGCTGGTGATTGATGAATCAATTGTGCATTTCTAGGGACGTGTTGCCTTCAAGCACTATATTCAATCCAAACGCCACAGATTTGGATTGAAATTCTTTGTATTCTGTGACTGTAAAACAGGAATTGTGTTACACATGATAATGTATTCGGGTACAAATGTGGACATTCCTGCTAATGGCAAACTTGGTTTCTCGAGAAGTGTGGTGAAGTAACTGCTTGCACGATGGCTGAGCAAGGGCCACATATTATACATAACTATTATACCAGTTCATTGCTAACTAGGTTCTTGCTTGATAATAGAACTAGAATGTGTGGCACAGTAAAGCCAAAACGAATGGGAAATGCAAGCGTTTGACACTGCTATGCAGGTAGATGATTGAAATCTAAAAATAAACTGGCGAAATACTTTCAGTGTGAAATGCATGTTGACCATCATTCGCACTGGAACAATGGTGGACAGTGGCAAGGTGAACAGAACCACCAGACAAATAATATATAAGCCAGATTGTGTTATGGACTACAACATAAACATGCGTTTGGTGAATATATGTGATATGAAAGTTGGGGCAGTCGAGTGTGTACGGAAAATAGTCAGGTGCACCAAGATGTTTTGTCCACCTTGTTGACGTAACAATGCTGAACAGTTTTGATATGGATCTTGTGAAAACAGGTAGTAAACAAATTTTTTTTGCATTCAGTTTTACTGTAGTGACTCAATTACTGGAAAGGTTTGGCAATCCAATTCCTGGCATACAAAGGCCCATTGTGAACCCAGTATTGCTTCATGCTCCCACACCCAGGCTCGCTTTCAGAAAGGCTTTTCAGACACACTTTATAAGGAATTCACCACCAACTGGAAAGCATGCAATAGCCCAATGTGAATCTATTGTGTGTAAGACCACACAAAAGAGCTCGCAGAAACGTAAATTACCCCTAACATGGTGCCCAGCGTGTGGACACCATGTGGTGTGCCGTCCCTCTGTGCTCTGTCATGTGTTTCGACGAGTATCACAGTCTCCAGGACTTCTTAATGTTCAATAATGGTGCAAAGCCATATACATATTGAGTGAGTGAGTGTATATATTAAAAACAATTCATAATACATTTCATCTTCCCTGAAAAATAAAACATTTTTTGAGCACATACTTATGACACTATTATGTGAGTGTACTGAATTTATGACATATTATAATACTATTGTATTATAATACAACAACAAGTGATAATATATTGAAACATATCAGTGAAAAAAATGGTTGTAAGATACACCATAGATACTGTAAATAATGCCGCGAAAATAAATTCGCGGCAACTCTGGCTGATTGAACACCGCCCGCGACGCCTCGAGGACACCTTGCTTGAGCGACCATGTTGCTCGTCGCCCAAGTTCTCGGTTCCTTTACATCATTGGTAAGTAAAAATAATTTTTTTCTCGTGCTCAGGGAACACAAAAGAACGCTTTTAGAAGAAGAAAAAAATATAATTGTTGGTGTGCCTGGTGGTGTCAAAGGCCATTAAGGGTTAAGCAGCCACAAGTCACTGCAAGCAGTGTAACTGAACCCCACTGCAGTCTCAGAGCAATACTTGACTTTAATGATTGAGTACATATAATCCTCTAAATTAACTATTCAAATAAAACCCAATTTGTCAGACAAATAAATTCCAGCACAAGTGCAAGGGAGCATAGCTGACTACCCCAGCACAAGGGCACGGGAGCATAGCTGACTACCCCAGGACAAGGGCACGGGAGCATAGCTGACTACCCCAGGACAAGTGCAAGGGAGCATAGCTGACTACCCCAGCACAAGGGCACGGGAGCATAGCTGACTACCCCAGCACAAGGGCACGGGAGCATAGCTGACTACCCCAGCACAAGTGCAAGGGAGCATAGCTGACTACCCCAGCACAAGGGCACGGGAGCATAGCTGACTACCCCAGCACAAGGGCACGGGAGCATAGCTGACTACCCCAGCACAAGTGCAAGGGAGCATAGCTGACTACCCCAGCACAAGGGCACGGGAGCATAGCTGACTACCCCAGCACAAGGGCACGGGAGCATAGCTGACTACCCCAGGACAAGGGCAAGGGAGCATAGCTGACTACCCCAGCACAAGGGCAAGGGAGCATAGCTGACTACCCCAGCACAAGGGCACGGGAGCATAGCTGACTACCCCAGGACAAGGGCAAGGGAGCATAGCTGACTACCCCAGCACAAGGGCAAGGGAGCATAGCTGACTACCCCAGCACAAGGGCACGGGAGCATAGCTGACTACCCCAGGACAAGGGCAAGGGAGCATAGCTGACTACCCCAGGACAAGGGCAAGGGAGCATAGCTGACTACCCCAGCACAAGGGCAAGGGAGCATAGCTGACTACCCCAGGACAAGGGCAAGGGAGCATAGCTGACTACCCCAGGACAAGGGCAAGGGAGCATAGCTGACTACCCCAGCACAAGGGCAAGGGAGCATAGCTGACTACCCCAGCACAAGGGCAAGGGAGCATAGCTGACTACCCCAGCACAAGGGCAAGGGAGCATAGCTGACTACCCCAGGACAAGGGCAAGGGAGCATAGCTGACTACCCCAGCACAAGGGCAAGGGAGCATAGCTGACTACCCCAGCACAAGGGCAAGGGAGCATAGCTGACTACCCCAGGACAAGGGCAAGGGAGCATAGCTGACTACCCCAGGACAAGGGCAAGGGAGCATAGCTGACTACCCCAGCACAAGGGCAAGGGAGCATAGCTGACTACCCCAGCACAAGGGCAAGGGAGCATAGCTGACTACCCCAGCACAAGGGCAAGGGAGCATAGCTGACTACCCCAGGACAAGGGCAAGGGAGCATAGCTGACTACCCCAGGACAAGGGCAAGGGAGCATAGCTGACTACCCCAGCACAAGGGCAAGGGAGCATAGCTGACTATATAAATCTGATGACTGATTTTGATACATTTATTATTAGCAGAGATGTATTCCATGGGGCCTCAGTGGCTAATCAGTGACCAGTTGCCTAATCAAGCTACAAGTCACTGTGACCATTGTCACTGATCTCACTGCAGTCCCAGAATCATACCTGACTGTAGTACTAGATCGCATCTAG